CCCCAAAACCCCAAAACCCCAAAACCCCAAAACCCCTCATATAAATAAAATTATTGAATTATTCAAAAGGTAAAAATGCAATTTAATAGAAACACTGTTAGACGTAGAGATAATAACGTAAGAAAAGCTCTGATGTCATCAGCTCAGAAAAAATAATAACTTTCTCATAATCTTTCAGGGAACAGATCAAAAAGTCTAATGAGCGCAGGCTCATGAAAGAAATCAGAGAAAGAGAGAAGAGATTTAGAGAGCAAAGAGAAAAAGAGAGTCAGCCAAGAGGTATTTTCATCAAAATAACATCTTTCAGGCCCTTTGTTCAAACTCAAAAAGTTTCAAGTGAAAGAGTCTGTACTCAAGCCAGCCATTAGGAATAGTGAACTCGATGATATAAACTGATGATATACCTTAGCTGGGCATTACGTAAGCGCAGCTGAAGCAGAGCGAGCTGCGTTAGAGAAGATGGGGCCCAATAACCAACCTAAAAATTCAATACTCTCGCTTGCTGCCAGAAGTGTCATTTCTAAAAGAGATAGAGAAATGATGCAAGAAGAGAATAAGCTGCTTGAGAAATACTACAAAGAATACTACAAGGGAAAGAACAGCAGCCGAAGCAGAGGTGGTTCCACCAATAGTAAAGCATCCAAAGAGAACTCTACAGGACCAGATGTGAGTTTCTCTTATTCAGCAGATATTTAATTCTTCAAGATTTTTATTGTTTTTCAATTATTAACTTTACTAGGTTCACCAAGGGATGAACTCTATAAGGAAATACTCGGGTCAAAAGCCAGTTAGCTCAGAGCCTCAAGAGTACAGGCAGAGTTACGCTCATTCGGCAGATAAAGTCCCCCAGGAATCCAAAGAAATGAGTGAAGAAGAGGTTAGAGAGGCCATAGCAAAGCTTGAGAGAAAATAAGTAACTTAGAGCTTTTAATTTATAGAAGGGAAGTTAATACCCTGATTTCTCGACTCCCTCTAGGAAATCGGTATAAAGCTATTGAGGACAGGGAAAAAGCATTATATCAAAAGATTGACGATATCAACTTAACAATCCGTCAGCTGTGGAGCCATAAGGTATACCTAAAGGTTTAGTACCAGATCTAATTCAATTTTGCAAAGTTTGAAAGGGGTTTTGGGGTTTTGGGGTTTTGGGGTTTTGGGG